GTTTTCTTGCCTTAGTCGTAACAACCCGCCAATATGCCGATAACTAGAAACGTCACAAGTAGACAACCATGCAATCCAATTGTAAATGGTAGGGGCTCTCCCATTTAGCTTGAAGCTACAATTGCATAACTCCGGAACCCACCAAAATTCCTTCTTCCTCATTAACACGATCTCCATAATTGACCCGCCAAATTCCTCAGAATCTTCCTGTTACACATTTTATGAACGCTCTAAATCACTAGCCACATTCACATATTCGATCTCATAGGAGATAACCCACATGTGGGAATTTCGGACCGCTGCTCTGGGTGCAATTACCACGAAACTAATAAACCATCCTGAGCCCGTGCTCATTCACCAGATGTACAAGTCCGTTCACTCCTCATGGATACCAACTAAAGGTGTGATAATACATTCCAATCCAAAGTCATATTGTATCCTTCTTCATATCAAGCAACTCCTTTCCGTCGTATCCAACCTTCCTCCGTATAGCAGCCAATATTCCAAATTAGGCCCGTAGACCTTGTCACTGTCCACCATGAATCCCAAATCACTCTAAACTTTCCTCAAGGCGTGCAACTATCCTACCATAGAACCCATATGCTACTCTGCCACTCTCCCACTTTGGTCAAACCCTCTCCTTTAAGCAACTACTCGGCTTCTGCTTCTCATATGGCCTTCTAGAAATTTAACCACCGCAAGACACCTCCCACATGCCCTTCCTCATCAATGCTCAATTGTTGCCTTAAACAAAAAATCATCTTTGTCGCACTTGAACCAATAAATTTCCACCAACTTTAAACCTCTCCGAAGATCATATTCCTCGAGCCGTCAACATTAGGGACACCGATTCGATTTTGAATCACTGCACACCGCGATCTCCGACAACCACTTCCCCAGCACCATGTCACAATACTTTGCCCCGAAGGCGAATTGAAGAAGACCATAACACTGGCGAACTTAACACATTTAATAAGGACAACGATGCCACATCACATATGAAAATTCTTCCATGCTCGAAATTACCAAGTCTTGTTACTCCATCAACCCAACCCTGAACATTCATCCGATTGCCTTTCCTCCGCTGGAAATAAAATGCCGAATCTTTGAATCATGCACTCAGAAAAGCCTCCTTTTAAGTCATTCACTGCCTCGGCACATAGACAAACATCTTACCATTACATCAATACTGTGCGATAACAACTCATGAATCATCATAACAACCAGTGCTCATCTTCAAAACCATAGGAATTACTGATACTAAGCCGAAACGACAGAATAGCCTTCCGCAAGGCGACGACAATAGCCCAAGCTATTATGCAGGGAGAAATATCCCGTACCACCACTGTAGTACCATTAAAATTCCTTGATTCCCAATTGATAACAAGCGCTTCACATCGCATAAGATTGAATAGGAAAGAAATAAAGGCACAAGCTTCAAAGGAATCGAATCGCACGATGAGGAATCAAGAAGGGAAGTGCTCCTATCAGCCCTGTAGCCTCTCAAAGATAAGTACAGACGTCTCCGTACCGATTCGCGAGACTTTACTAGACTTGCTCATGACTCGTGAGACCTAAGTGTACCTAGTGCTCTGATACCATGTGTTCACGACCCAAAATCCATTAAAGGTCGTGATGACACCTAACACCACTGCCATGCAAGCTAACACTAAAATTTTAACTTAATTACTCATTTTTAATATGTTTGAAATCTTGATTTTCCTTCAATTAAATGGTAAGAGATAAAATTTTACAGAGTAAATGATAATATCTTCACAACAACAATACGGAACAACCCATAATCATCCCTAAAATCTGGTATCACAAGTGCATGAGCATTTACTAGGAAGTAAAATAAAATACAGTATCTGTCCAGAATACAAATTGGACAGGAGAATATAAATAACTCTGAAGGAGACTCTGCTGGCTGCAGATAGTAACATGAAATGCAGCTCACGGTAAGTCCCTGCATCATCCGCGCCTCCGCACCCAAAGGACCACCAGACATAAAAGTACCTGCACAAAAATGTGCAGCAAGTATAGTATGAGTGCGTAAATTCACGTGTACCCAGTAAGTATCTAGCCTAACCCCGGAGGAGTAGTGATGAGGGGTCCACATCGACACTCACTAGTGGTCCAATAATATCAGGTACAATAAAGAGGTGAACAAATATGAGGCAGAGTAAACAAATAAAATAAACGAGTATAAATACGTGTTACAATTCTCTTCTTTACAATAGGCTCAAGCTCTCAATTAGAAAATTTCCTCCTCAACCGGAACATATATATAATTATATAGTGGACCTCACCAAAATGGGTCGTTATACTTCAAATCAGGAAGAGACTCACAGATACACTGGCTTCTTGCCAAATATTATGCACGATTTCATGAGGATATTTTATAGAAATGGCTAGGCGTACGGCCCGATCCAACATAAATATTAAATTGTGCACTGTCGAGGGTCAAACTGCACAAACCATAGATGCATCGCCAAATTTCTGAGGCGAACGACCCGCTCCCATGAGAGTGTGGTACATAAATCCTGCCAAGGCGAACGGCCCGATCCCATTACAATAAGAAGTTTTGACGGGTCCTTGACCCCCACTCACAAATAAACATGTGAGTTATAATTTTTAAGGAAAATGGTTCGATGAAAACGCATAAGTGTGAGAAATCCGTAAGAGGAACACCATTATTCCGTGGCAAGTCATGAAACTCGCGAAAACTTTACAATAGCAAGTCTATCAGTCTACGCATGTCTAGACTCAAGTTGTAATGCGAAATAAAAGAATTAAACGAGCAAGGTTAATCCCTATAGTACAAGTACAACATGGGGTGAGCCTAAGTCTACCCGGACAATAACATGGATCTAACTACGTACAGACTCTCGTCACCTCGTGCATACGTAGTCCTCGCAACAAGTTTCACATATTAAATTTATCACCTAGGGGTAGTTTCCCCCTCACAGAGTTAGACATGAGACTTACCTTGCTGCAAAGCTTACTTTCCGGTCCACAATTGAACTTTAAACCCTCAACTCGGTGCCAAAAGACCTGAAACTAGTCAAATGACATTTAAAATAGTCAATACATGCTTAAGAGTTCATTTCCAAACTATTAAAGTGATTTCCCAACTCAAATTGAAGAATTCCTAAAATTCACCTCCAGAACCACGTGCCCGGATTCAGGAAATTTTTGAAGAAAATTATTATCCATAACCTCATGAACTCAAATATATGATTTTTATCTAATTCCATAATCATTTTCGTGGTCAAATCCCATTTTATCAAAACCCTAGGTTTTCCTAAAAAAATCCCATAAATACCACCATTTTCCATGTTAACTCTACTTATGATTCGTGTATTTAGCTAAAGAATCGATAGGGATCACTTACCTCTTGGTGTTGATGGAACCCTCTCAAAAATGCTCTCAAAATCGTCCAAGACCATATGGGAAATGGGGAAAATAAAGCTAAGTCCCGCATTAAAAACTACTGCACAGGTCGCAGGTATCGCATTTGTGACACCTCGTACGCAAATGCAAAGTTGCAAATGCGACAAAACGATCGCAAATGCGAAGGCTGGCCATCTCTGCCATGGTCGCAAATGCGGCCAAAAACATCGCAAATGCTAAGAGGGCCAGTTCGTAAAAGCGGCGGGTTCTTCGCAAATGCGAAACCCTCAGAGTCTTCCCAACTTCGCAAATGTGAATGGCTCTTCGCAAATGTGAGCTCGCAAATGCGATCAAAGCTTCGCATTTGCGAGACCTGCAACTCCAGCCCAGAAACACCAGAAAACTTGAGCTTTTCCTCATTCTTCCGAACGTCCGAAACTCACCCGAGCCCTCGGGGCTCTACACCAAACATCCACACAAGTCTAACAATATCATACAAACTCGCTCGAGCAATCGAAACACTAAAATAATATCAAAAACCACGAATCGGATGCCAAAACGCATGGATTAACTCATGAACTCAAAAACTTCTAAAAATACTTCCGCGCGTCCGATTCCTATCAAATCAACTCGGAATGACGCCAAATTTTACGTGCAAGTCTTAAATGATATTACAGACCTACTCCAACTTTAGGAACCAGAATCCGAACACGATATCAAAAAGTCCACCCTCGGTCAAACTCTCCAAAAACTTCAAATTTCCATTTTTCGCCGAAACGACCCCGGAACGACCTACGGACCTCCAAATCCACTTTCGGACGCGCCCCTAAGTTCAGAATCACCAAACATAGCTATTCCCAGGCTCGGAATTCCAAACGGACATCGATAACTTTGAAATGCACTTCAACCCAAATTTATGAAATCCTTCCAAAATGCCATTTTTCCATAATAGGCGCCAAAACGCTCCCGGGGCATCCAAATCCCGATCCGAGTATACGCCCAAGTCCGAAATTATCATACGAACCTATTGGAACCTTCAAATCCTGATTTCGAGGTCGTTTACTCAAAAGTCACATATTAGTCAATTCTTCCAACTTAAAGCTTCCGAAATTAGAATTTTCTTTCTAAATCTACTCCGAACTTCCCGAAATTCCATTCCGACCACACGTACAAGTCATAATACTTGATAGCTACTCAAGGCCTCAAACTGCCGAACAACGCACTAAAGCTCAAAACGACCGGTCGGGTCATTATATTTTTGGAATCTGCATTTAATACAACTGTCACGACCCAATCTCTTATAGGCCGTGATGGCGCCAACAGTGAACTAATTGACCACGCGATTTCTCTTTTTAATAAATTTCCAAGTAATTAAATTTTTTCTTAATTAAAATGTTAAGAAACAACAGATTTAAATAAAGAAAACGAAAGTAACTGAGTGAATCATAACCATAGTAATAATCAAAAAGCACAAAGTCTACTAGTGTGTGCCAAGACCTGGTGTCACAAGTATATGAGCACTAATAGATTATACAAAACTCTAGCTAGTGTCTGAAATGAAAGTAGATAAAAATGAATGCAAAGGAGAGACTTTAGGTGTTGCAGAACGGCTCAGGAAGCAGCTCACCACTACGCCTCCGGGTAATGGGGATGCGCGCCGGTGAGATCGCCAGATGCACTTGCCTCAGATCCTACACGGTCAGTGCAGCGTAGCGCCCACAATTAGAATCAAATAGAAATTTAAATCACCTAGAGGGTAAATTCATTCTTACAAGGTTTGGCAAGAGACTTACCTTGTCTCAAAGCTCTTTTTCCGGTGTCAAATTCGCTCTAAAGCATCAACTCGGTGTCAAACGACTCGGAACTAGTCAAATGTTATATAATTTAGTCATTACATGTTCAAAAGTTCATAATTTAACTACTAGAGTAATTACCCAACCTAAATTGGAAGATTCCTAAAATTCACCCCTAGGCCCTCATGCCCGGATTCCGGGAATTTGCGAAGAAAATTTTTACCAATAACCTTACGAACTCAAATATATAATTTTTATCCCATTCCATAATCATTTTCGTGGTTAAATTCCATTTTTTTAATATCAAAACCTAGGTTTTTCATCTAAACCCATGATTTTCATAATTTTACAAGTTAAAATCTACCCATAATCTATGTCTTAAACTCGTATTGTATAAAAATTATTTACCTCCGAGTGCTAGGTGAAAACCCCTTTCCAAAAGCTCCAAAATTGCCCAATAAATGAAAGAAAATGAGTCAAAAATGGTTTAACTCCTGACTTAAATGAATCTCACTGCCCAGCGATTTTTCGCACCTGCGATGACACTGCCGCACCTGCGGTTCCGCTTCTGCGGACAAAACCATGCAGGTGCGGACCAAACCCAGGTCGACCTTTTCCACTTCTGCGACCAACGGCTCGCATCTGTGAGCTCGCTTCTGCAGAGAGCGCGTCACACCTGTGACCCTATTCCGCTTCTACAATCGCATGCTTCACACCTGCGCCTCCACAAGTGCGGTCCCTGCCTCGCTTTTTCGATCATTGGGCAGCCAATGCTGGGCCGCTTCTGCCGCTGCTAGCTCACTTATGCGAGCTCGCACCTGCGGCTAGCCCTCCGCAGGTGCGATTGCATCAGAAGCTTGGTGCTTCCGCTATCCAACTAAGGCCAAATGACTTCCGCGCATCGTCCGAATGGCATCTGGGGCCCCCGAGGCCTCGCTCAAACGTACTAACAAGTTTGAAATCATGAGACGGACTTGCTCGAACCCTTGAAATGCCGAAAATAACACCAAAACTAAGAATCACATCCCAAACTCAATCGAATCAATATTTGAACTTAAAGTTCATTCAACTTGCTCCGAACGCGCCGAATCATACCTAAACTACTCGGAATGACACCAAATTTTGCGTGCAAGTCTTAAATCACTATACAGAACTATTCCCAGGCTTAAAATCCCAAACGGACCTCGATAACACTAAAACCTACTCCAAACTATATTTAAAGAACTTTTAAACCTTCAATAAGCCAACTTTCAACATTAAGCATTAAAATGCTCCCGGATCATCCAAAATCCGATCCGAATATATGCCCAAGTTCAAAATTGACATACAAACCTATTGGAACCGTCAAATCTCGGTTCCGAGGTCGTTTATTCAAAATGTTGACCAAAGTCAAACTTAGCCTTTTAAAGCCAAACCAAGGAACGAAGTGTTCCGATTTCAACCCGAACCCTTTCAAATTCCGAACTAACCATCCATGCAGGTCAAAAAATAGTAAAAGTGCATACGGGGAGTCTTATGCAGGGGAACAAGGATTTTTGTTTACCCACGAAGGTTTTTCCATCAGATTTTTGTTTGAAGGAAAATCCGCAAGAAACTAAATTACATGGGAATTGTCCTATATAATCGGCAAGAAAATCCCCATGTAATTCGTGATTTTCTTGTAGTGGAAGTCAAAGTTTGACTCGATACCGACTAATTTCGGTCGGAATATTGAAATTACGGACACAAATTATATTTCTCGAGCATTGGCACTAAATTTATCGACCAACTTGGGTCGGTTCAATTATAAAAAAGGAAAAATACTATTTTGGCCATTTCCGACCGAAAGTGGACGGTTTGCTCTTCGACGGATTTCGGTCGAAAATCGCCAGACGAAATTTAGGGAACTAGTCTTAGGATTCGCGCGATGCGCGTGTACCCATGTTACGATCAAAATCTTTATAAAAATCACATAAACATTATTAAAAATATTTTGATATAGAATTTAAACTAAAGGAAATAGTTAACTTCTTAAAAATATGAATGTTAATTTGTGTAACTAATTTTATAAGAAAAGAAACGTCACCCCACAAAGTCCTGATATGTCTTATTGAATTTCAATATATGGGCTTTGTATTTAGTTTAAAAGCTCAGAATAAGCACAATATGTTTATTTGTATTAGCATTACTCACGATCGTATGTAAGTCAGTTTATATTCTCTAAACTTCTTTATAGAAAACAACTTAAAAGATTAAGATGAATATAACATGCTTGTATTATTCTAAGAAAACGAACAATAAAGAGGATATCACAATTATATAAGGAACCATGAATATTCTATACTTTTATCTATTATTCATTATTAAATAATTTTATATATATAATGTTTTGAAGAAATAGTACGTTGAAGGGTAATATTATCTATCAATGTTACAAAAAGATATGTTGATACATAATTAGTTGTTAGTGTAATAATATTTTTGTTTTTGGAGACAAAGACACATTAACTATAATTTTATAAAGAAGCAAGGATGGTTCGTTTCTTATATTGAATTATATGAACTTGTTGCTTTCCAAAAAATAAAATAAAAAATTAAATTATACGTTTGATATAAAAACACGACATTTTTAAAAATCAAAATGGAATAATTAAAAAGGTAAATAAACAATTCATAAGTTTTTGTTTGATAAGTAGCAAAGTTACCGAGAATTTGGAATTGTAAATAATTGATTCCTTCTTGAAAACTATTTTTCTCATTTATTTATGGTAGGAATTTTAGGGTATCAGTTTACCTTTTTTTATGTATAAGTTTTTTCTTCTAAATTTTGGAGTACGTTTTTTAATGGGTAAAAGGATCTAGAAAAGTCAAAGTTATTTATTTATAATTGTAACGACCCGGCCGGCCGTTTTGAGGGAATTAATCCCGAACCCCTATTTACTGTTCCCTCTAATTCATTTTTGGGTTTTATGACTTGCCGGGAGGATTTGTTTTGATTTCGGAGTGAAATGGGACACATAGTCCCTAAAATGGAGGTTTAAGTCATAGGAATTGACCGTAGTTCGAACTGTATGAAGACAATCCCGGAATGGAGTTTTGACGGTTCTTATAGTTCCGTAGGGTGATTTTGATCTTAGAAGCGTGTTCAGATGTTGAATTGGAGGTCCGTAGGTCATTTTAGCGCTAATTGGCGAAAGTTGGAAAAAGGATGACTTTTGAGAAGTTTGACCGGGAGTGGACTTTTTGATATCGAGGTCGGATTCCGATTCCGAAAGTTGTAGTAGGCCCGTAATGTCAATTATGACTTGTGTGCAAAATTTGAGGTCAATCAGACTTGATTTGATAGGTTTCGGCGTCGGATGTAGAAGTTTGAAACTTTGAAGTTCATTAGGCTTGAATCGATGTGTAATTCGTGTTTTTAGCATTATTTGATGTGATTTAAAGGCTCGACTAAGTTCGTGTGATATTTTATGTCTTGTTGGTATATTTGGTTGAGGTCCCGGAGGCCTCGGGTAAGTTTCGGATGGTTAATGGATCATTTTTGAACTTAGAAGATTTGCTGGTGCTGGGCTGGTTCTGGTGTAATCGCACCTGCGCAAGGTTGACCGCAGGTGCGAGCAGTGGGGCACAAGTGCGGAGCTAGGGGAATTTGCCAGTGGTCACAGGTGCAGTATGAGGGCCGCAGAAGCGGAGTCGCTTCTGTGGGGGATCGATCGCAGAAGCGGGAGAGTGCTTGGGGAGGCTTCCACAGAAGCAGACGAGGGACTGCAGAAGTGCATCAACAAATGCGGAGATTTGCGTGTGGGTGCGGAACCTGGGGATTCAAGTGAACTCCGCAGATGGAGAGACTTCGCCACAGAAGCGGAATTTGGTCCGCAAAAGCGGAAAGCCTGGGCAGATTCTATAAATTCAAGGGCTCGGGATTTTTATCATTTGTTGGACATTTGAGCTCGGGTTTGGCAATTTTTGAGAGCATTTTCGAGGGATTTATTGAGGTAAGTCCCTTGTGCTTATTTTTGGTCAATAATCTTATTTTTCCGTTGTTTTCCCCACCTAGATTGTGTGTGTTTAAGGTGGAATGTGGGAGTTGAGGCTAGGGATTTGGAAAGTGTAATTTGGGGATTTGAGGGGAGACTTGGCGTCGGATTTTGGCAGTTTTGGTATGGGTGAACTCGATATTGAATGGGTGTTCGTATTTTGTGACTTTTACGCGATTCCGAGACGTGACCCCGGGTCGACTTTTTGAGGCGATTTTTTGATTCCTTAATAAAGTCATAGATTTATGATTTAAATTAGTTTCTTGTAATTATATTCATGTTATGAAATTGCTTTTGGCTAGATTTGGGCCATTCAGAGTTGAAAAATCAAGAGAAAGGCATTCTTATCGATTGATTGAGCGATATTTGAGGTAAGTGACTTGTCTAACCTTGTGTGGGGAAAAATTCCCTTAGGTTTTGGAATTGTTGTAACCATTTGTGATATATGAGCGCTGTGTACGCGAGGTGACAAGTGCGTGCACGGATTGAATATGGAAAATTCGGTTCTTGCTGATTTGTCATCTTTTGAATTTCCTTATCTGAGTTGTCTTCTTTCAAAATACATTAACTGAGTTGCCTTAGCATATGTAGTGACCTTGTTTAGCCTAGTATCGCATGTCTACGTGCCTTAACTCTTACTTGCAATTTGTGCCACATGCTTAGTTGAATTACCTATTTTCCCTTAATTTGAATTAAATCTTTAACTGTAAGATTCTTGCTAAAAATTTGTGTTTTCCTTCGATTATGTGCTACATATTTACTTTGGGACTACGAGGCGGTTCCTCAGAAGATCCCCCTATACTGCATATTTACTTTGGGACAATGAGGCGTTTACTCGGGAGATCCCCCCTGTACTGCATATTTACTTTGGGACTACGAGGCGTTTACTCGGGAGATCCCCCCTGTACTGCATATTTACTTTGGGACTACGAGGCGTTTACTCGGGAGATCCCCCCTGTACTGCATATTTACTTTGGGGCTACGAGGCGTTTACTCGGGAGATCCCTCTGTACTGCATATTTACTTTGGGACTACGAAGTGGTTCCTCGAGAGAT